GAGGATCGCATCGTGGGGACTTCTTTTTAAAGTGACCCTCATCCTCTTTTTATCTCCGTGGAAAATGGCGAAAAAGCCCTTCGAGGTTATGCGCGTCGATGCATGTTTTAATCATTTTCTTTTAATAATAGGTGTGCCATTGGCATGAGATCCACGTAAACACAGAGAGTTCACGGTGACGGTGCATTTTAGTTTGTACTAATTGGTGGCTCAATAATGTTGGGAGAGAAAAATATTTATTGGTTTATAATTGTTAAGAATTATTTGCCGCTTGAGATTCACATACACAAAATGGCTGGTGAAGTGCACAGTATCTTTGTTAAATATATATAACAGAATATATTCTCTTGATATCATACCTTCTACGTTAGACAGCATATATTCACGTATTAGATAGTATATCATTCTCTTATTTTTCTCTTTTATTTTCTGCATTTATTGAATCTTTCCGCAATAAGTCTTTAATTAGTATAAATATATGTAGTCATTCTTGTGATATCAAGCCTTCGTATATCATTCTCATCCACAATACCAAGCCTTTTTTAAGTTGCTTCGAGCTTACTCAGTAACAAACATTTGCGAGAGGGAGTGGGCGTGAATTTTCTTTTTACGTTAGATTCAAATGTGCATATTCATGTTGTCATATTATTTTCTGCATGTTTTTCTTCCTCGTTATTTAAAAAAAAGATTAAAAAATAATTTAAGGTTCAAATTTATGTTCCCAAATGTATTTTACCTGTGCGCGTATTGCTCCCACCGACACAAGCTAATACCATCTGAGATTTGACTTGCAACATCAGGTTACCCTCTCTGCTTATAAAAAGGGAAGTGTGAAGAATTGAGGAACCTGTGTACTTCCAAGACTTTGCAATGGAAGAGACATCGTGTCCTTGATCTTTTCCTTTCTCTTGTTCTCTTTCTTCTCCAATCTTCTTTTAACATCCCGATATTGTATCGTGCAAATTTATGCAGGCTCTGCAGGTTTGAGTTATTTGGCTCATGTATAATCCAAACATTGCTGCCATGACGATTAATTAATTCCAAGTTTCAACACGTTCTTCTGAAAATATTTGCACCATGTTGATGTCTGCACTGAAATTTCAAGTTAGATGCCTACAATATAAACTTTTCTGCGAGCGTTCATCTTTTCACATCTTCATACAGGAACCCGACGACGTAGGACCAACAAGGCTCGTTCGCTACCTTTACTTCATATTTGCACCCATGTTGATGTCTGCACTGAAATTTCTAGCTAGTTAGATGCCTATAATATAAACTTTTCTGCGAGCGTTCATCTTTTCACATCTTCATACAGGAACCCGAAGACGTAGGACCAACAAGGCTCGTTCGCTACCTTTACTTCATATTTGCACCCATGTTGATGTCTGCACTGAAATTTCTAGTTAGATGCCTACAATATAAACTTTTCTGCGAGCGTTCATCTTTTCACATCTTCATACAGGAACCCGAGGACTTAGGACCAACAAGGCCCGTTCGCTACCTTTTACTTCATACTCTTCGTTGTTCTGTTCATAGCACTCGACAGATGAATCTGTCTCCTTTCTCTGTATCGCATAATATCTCCAAAGGAAAAAAAAAAAAAAGCTCATATGTATCATATTTGCTAGCGTGCCTTGTTAGCCTTTCTGCATTATAGATCACTTCTAGCCTCATTTTAATTTGATCATTGAAAGTTTTCTCACATATGAAAGTTATTGAATGAACCAAGGAACTCAAAATGAATGCTTCTGTTCTTCTGATACTGTCTGCGACTGTATGAATAATTCAGAGACTGCTTCTTCTTCAATTATTCTGTTCATGGGATAACTATTTAATTTAGTCAGTGAGCGCTGAATGAATAGTAACTTTATGTAGTCCCCTTAAGATTAAACCTGCTTTAGGCTAATCTGGGGACTTTAACACTCTTGGTACGTTTAGTACAACATACAAATAAACCCCAATCTGTTGAACAAGGAATTAACCCTGCGTATCTTCCTCATTTAGCACCTATGGAGATTTTTTTTCTTTCCAAAATTAGAAAGAAGAACCAGAAAGATATTAGATACTACTTTACAAAATAGTATATTTTTTATTAAATGGAAAGGATTTTATGTTCAATTTCTTTGCTGTTCAACTGGGTAGCATGAGTTCTAGATCAACGCTCAAAAAGGTCAGTTTCTTTTGGGACTGAAAAAAATCATCTGTTGGAAGCTCAATTAGCTCAAGCATGATTTACTCCAGAGGAGTTCAAAACCATATGTCCTACTGGATTCTTAGTTGTCTCATGGGTTAATTACAGAAAACCCCCCTTCAAGATTTGCACCATTCATATAAATAGGCCCTAAGGTTTCAAAAGCGACCGATCCCCTATTTCAGTTTTCTTCAAAGTTAATTTGCATGTAAAAGCCGCGATAGAATCATATGACAAGTATATTTAGCTCCATATGGTAAACATGTAAATGGATTTAAATATAGGATGATTTTTCTCAACGAATCTTAAAAATCATATCCACGCTGTTGAATCATATTACATGGCAGAATCAGGTCACATCTCTGCTTTTATTATTTTGCCTTTTCTTCTGATATTTCCTGTTCTTTAATTAATCTTGATACCAAAGCCTCCAGTCATCCCGCACCCATTAATACTCCACATTTCCTCATCTTAATTTTTAACACATTTAGACACATTTTCATCTCGTATACAGACCTCCAAGAAGATGTCTTGCTTATTTCTGAAGTTCCTCTCTTGAGCCATCGTATATAAATGATTACTTTTCATGTAGTTTGGAGTAACGGAGGGAGAGTAGGAAAAGAGGAACATAGCAGGGTTTATATAACTTATTAATAGGGGTTCACATTCCGTTAGCCTTCAGCATTTTTTATATTTTAAATGGCATTATAATGCTACGCTAAACATGACTAGCAATTTAACTATATACATGGACATGGACTTATCCACCCATTGATAATCAATCAGATGAGCCAGTTATAAGTAGACAGATTCCTTTTCTTTTTCTAAGCATGATTCAGACGCAATATACTGCCAATACTTGGAAAACAAAAGATATTGGTAAAGACTGAAAGAAAAATAACAGTATGCACAAGAAACAATTGTAGGTTTACGTTTGATGCGTAATAAACATTGAGATATTCGGGCGATATATTGAGCGTTGAATAATTCAAGAATTGACTCGTAAATTATGGGTTTAGATACTTAAAATGGACAGGGACCAAACAAATTTATATAATCCATCATGAGTGGGTCTTGCAAAATATAGTCCGTACCTTGACACACCTAGACTTTTTAACTTTTGAATTTCCCATTGTTATTATTTTAAAAGGTTTAAAGCAAGTACTTAGAACTATACTTCGTGTAATATTAATAACCCCGATATATAACTACATCTCCCTTACCTTCTATAGCCCAATAAATTATTATCAGAGATTCTCCCTCTATGGGTTAAGCACTTGCACGCCGTTAAATTAGCGCACCATATATTTTCCTTTTTTTAAAAACTTAATTTACTAGCTTCACTCTAAAAAAATCAGCATATAGTATTCATCCGACATGCATGGCTCTTCTCCAACCTAAACTAGGTAAGGGATCAAGTATAATTGCATAATTTTTCAACCACAGAGCCAAAAAGAAGGCGTCGATCATTATTTGCGGCTGGAAAACTACATTACGCTGTGCCCTACAGTCCACAACTCGTCATATTTCACGCTATTTTCGGGTTTTTAGGCCAACTGAAGGAAGGAAACTTTGAGAACATAATTATTCACGTGAGAAGAAAATCATACAGCACGCGTTTGATCGACATAAATCATATTTCTCATGGTGGACTTATTTTAACCATTACCTGTAATTTACTTGGTAAACTAAGTCTTATACGACATAGCATACAGTAAACCGGGACGCTGCTAATATTCCCATGGACAATTTCTTCAAAATTAGAGGATATAACTTAATACGTGGCGTGAAATGTACATAAGAGTAAAGTGTATACGTTGCTCCTAAGCTCTTTGATCGCTCATACATTGACATCTCGGCAGTTTCTTGCACAGCCAGAAGCTGAAATTCAGTGTTTACTTCAGTAGAATTGGGTAAATTTGCCTAAGCTAAGATGCAAAATAGCCCAAATTCAGGAATAAAAGTTTGCAATCCAACCAATCTGAGTGTTTCCTACAGCAAACTGGCTGTTTCATTTGGCACGCACGTAACCATCATGGCATTTCTTGCAATCAAGAGCTCAATTAAATGTTTGTTTAAACTAATAAGCTGCAAACGTAACTAAATCTAAGCAGCAAATGCTTGCAATCCAGTCAACCGCAGTGTTTGCCCTAGCTATTTTTTATTAATGAAACCATAATTAACTAGGTAAGTAACTCTTGAACAGTCGGAACAAAACCAATTAATTTGGGCAGGCATTTGCATCAAAACAGCCTCAATAATCACTAACCAGGTAATAAAGCACATCTATTTCCTAACCCTAAAGACCGCAAGAAAAGCTATTTACGAAAAATCCAGTGCAAAGAGTAAGCCTAGGACAAAACCCCTCGTAAACTTACCGATTGTTGTTAAAAGTGTCACCCCTAAACAGTGATTTATTTCATCTAGTTAGCAAGCAATAGCTGACATAGGCATTTTGCATAGAACAAGTCATTCGAAAGAAAGTAGCATTAGAGCATTGAACAGAAAAATACTCAACTATGCAATTGGAATTATCATGTTATTAAAGGGACATTATTAAAAGATCATGTGAATAACTAGGAAAAGAAATTGTGCAGCGGAAAATATATTTATAACTAGGAAAAGAAATTACGCAGCAGATAAGTAAGTCAAATGAACAACAAACAGTTTTTAGGAGATAAAAATAAGACGGACACCAAAGTATAAATTCTCATGCTGTAAATGCCATGGGTGCCAGCCCAAGTCTTCTAGATCAACCTCTAAGAAGACAAACTGAGGCACCGTATAAACTTTACTAGCATATCCATAAATACCTCTGTTCCCATAACTTCATTATTTGTGAAAAGACAGCTAAAAACCTAAATTATACCCATTTCCCCCTCTTAAGATTTATAACTTCAGCCATATTCAACTGAACCAAGTTAACTACTAAAAACTCCAGCTACAGAGAGCATACCTCGGCCAACCACAGGAATCCCTCGATCATGCCAATAAAACTTGATGTTTTACAGCATTGATAATGATTTCTCCCATGCCTCAAAACCAATTCATGGAAATGTTAGAACGGAAGAAATGAAGTTAAGATAGCCAAATTTCCATCAGTCTGTAACAAATCTGTACAGTATACCAACATATCAAAATGAACACTTGTCATAACACAGATAAGGAAAAACTTAATGCAACGCTCTTCAAATGCAAAATGTTTGAACTTGACTGTTGACCAACATGTACATATAAATTTACCTTGAAAATATATTTCACGAATCCATAAAACAGTAGAGCTTTGAGTTACTACCGGCCTCTCTGGCGTTTGTGGTAGTACCCTCCTCTATACTTATCATCCAAACCCTCAATCAGCTCCCGCCTTTCATAATCTTTGTGGCCAACTTTAAGCTTTGGGATTTGCTTTGAGGGCCTGGAGTTGTGACTGGCCTCTATTTCCCTGTGGTACTGCTTCTGTTCTCTAGATGCTGAGAGATTATGATGCCTGTGACTGTGCTTTTTATGACCTGCATCAACCTTCTCATCTTCAGAGACCTTTTTGTTACCTGCAGTCGTGCAATGACCTCTTCTTTCGCTTTGCTTCTCAAGGGAGATTGCATGGTGATTTCGCTTCCGATCTCTACTGTGTCGATTGGAGCTGTCAGAATTTGATTTCTCAGGATGTCGAGCCCGTAGATCTCTCCAAGAAATTGATTGGTGTCTTTCATGTTTACGTTCAACAGAATGCTCTTCATCAGGTTGTCGATGTGATGAGCCGTAGTGTCTGTTGTCTTGGTGTTGCTTATGAACTTTTGGGCTCTCCTCATCTAAGAAGCTACCAGCATGCTCCTTCCTCTTATGTAAGGTCGTTTGCAATCCCTTGTAATAGCAATCTTCAGGCATGCGATCAAGGCCTGGCTCTCTGCCCCAAATCAGGAGCCAAAATTCAGGAGAAGAATATTTACGATACATTCAGAAGGCTTGGAGTAAATTATAACCCAGAATTTCCATGTGCTTTCAGCAGGCAAGAATATACATCACTACTAACACTTTTAGTATTCTAGCAAATTTGTTAATAATTTTTTTCCAATTATTATCACCAATATTCTTGAGTTAATATGGCCTATATTGCAAAAAAATCTCAAAATCAGAACTCCTGATATTTTCAGATACCTAAACATTCTGCTAGTTTCTACCAAAACTTACTAAAACACATGGAACAAACATCAATAATTCATATACAAGAGAGGCATAATATTAGGTATAATTTCCTTATCCGATGTGTATTGTTATGGACGACTTGTTTTCACATACCTAAGTAATTGTGAGCAATAATTCAAAAGCAATTTTTCTGGAACATTTCAGCAGATTACAATATGACTTCTCACATGCCTCATTAAATGCAAATGGCAAAAAGAAAAACAATATAACATGGAGAGTGCAACTAAGCTACCCTCTGACCTAAAAGGCATCAAGTAAAAGAATAAGTTGCTTATCATTTAAAGGGCAGCTTCCATAGGCAAAATCAAGGTTAACTGCATGACCCTAAATAAGCGGTACAAGCAACAAAGTACAAAAAGGAAAGAGTATAAATTAAATTTGGCCCAAGTTTAAGGGTAGACCGGAAGTATTTTGCAACAGGAGACGGATTTCATGGTCAAACTTATGAAAAATACATCTCAAAATTTGCAGCATATATCACTTAATAGTGGGCCTTTTTGGACTAAGGTCTCAAGTTGGAACAAATAAGTATTCTCCATAGATGTAAAACTGATAGATGAGCTTGCAACTTCAAGAATAGAGAACCAAATTGAAAAAATATGAACAAAAAAGTTGCATAAAAGACCTTTATGTTGGTCTGATACTAAAATTGTCTGTGGCATATCTTTGTTCTTCAAGGTTCAGATCAGGCACAAAAATTATTTATGTAAAATTTAACGGTCACTGTTATTTATGGAAGTGGTTATAAAAATTTATATGCTCAGATGGCATTTATGCACTCTAACTCCACCAAGAACTTCCCAAGAGCGAATACAGTACAGTCTTATGAAAAGAATCTCTAAGCAGGCAAGGATTCATATGTTTTATGGACATGAGGATATTTTCTGAAGGCTGAGTAAGTTGCCTACCTTCCTTGATGGGCATGCAAAGGCTCCAGAAATGTTTGACGGTTTAGGGGTCTTTCTGCTTCAGGCATCATGGTAGGCTGTCCACCTCCCGTTCTCATGAATCCACTGGATTTTAACATTGAAAATAATAATAATAATAATAACAATAATAGTAATGATAATAAAACAAATGAAAAATCAAATGAAAGAATAGTTTAAAAGTCATGAAACACATTATATTAAGATTTAACTGCCACAAAGTCGAAGGAAGAAACAAAGTACAGAAGAAATAACTTACTAGGGTCCTGCCATGCCAGTATACATTGATGACATAAAGGGAGAAACTCCACCTGGTGAAAGTTGGGCCCTTGTTGGATCAAAAGGCATCATCTCCTGGCTACCATACGTATTTGCATAAGGCCTAGTTCGGAGGAATGTATTCCCATGCCAATAAGCCTGCCCATACATTGGAATGCCTCCAGCAAATGCAGGATCTCCTGAACGAAAAAGCAAAGATACTTGCAGAGATTTTAAAGAAAATATAACCTACTTATATAGCAGGAAAGAACAATTCTACAACACTCACGTACCTGTCTGATTAAATGGATATGAATTAGAAGCTGCTGGACAATCTCTAATCAAATGATCAGGGGACCCACACATGAAACAATTTCGATCACCCTGGTTTAATGAAATAAGGCTTATTAGATAGGCATGTAACAATTTTAGACACAATGACAATCTAAAGCATACTGCTACAAGGATCTAGACATCGGTGCTTTCTGCACCCGCTACAAAGGAATATAGAATCCCTGAGTTCCCTCCCTGTTTACTTTTTTGACGGTTGTTGTTGTTGACTTGGGTTTCTTTCTTTCTTTCTATTTTTTTAAAAGATGGTGGGGGGACGTAAACGTGCTTTATAGAAAAAAAAAATTGAGCTCAGAGAAGCGGAAAAATATTGGTGAGGGTACCTTTCTGTTCCTATTTGACGGCATAAAAGGTCCACCTCCATCTGCAAATTACAAAAACAACAAATGAACATGGCATCTAGGAAGGTGAGGAAAACGATAAAGGATAAAAGAAGAAAGAGACAGCAACTCTAGTATTCATGATTACCTACGATGGTGACACCAAGAACCTTATTTTTCTGGCAAGCCAAGTTAACTGGACCATTGCAAAATTTTAACAAGATAGAGTAAGCCGCCTTTATTCACAAGTCTAATTCTTAGACTAGAAATTTGCAGAGCTCACGTCTACATAAGTTAGTGAGAGAACTTTTTTAAGTTTTAATTATATGGCAAGCAAAACTGTTTCCCATGCAGTAATTACTTTCCACCATATAGACATAGCTTTTTTGCCCCTCCAAAAAGTGCTGCGCAATTGTCAGGTAATTATGTTGCAAAATTATACTAATACTTGCAAATAATGATGTGGTGCTGTGTCCAAATGGTATCATTCTAATATGAACGTTCGTGTAACGAACCAATATCAATTTCAAAATTCCAGCATAAAAAAAGAGCAAGGTAGCATTCTTCATAGGTCATACTAAAGTATTCCATGACAAATTATTAAGATAATAATAAGCTGTTCATACCTTCATCTTGAAGAAAATTCTGAGGCAACTTTGACGAACTGGGAACGCCATGAAAGCCAGCCATTAGATTACATGCTGCTTCTGAACTGTTTTCATTCCCCTTCATATTTATCATATTAAGTTGCAAAGGGGTTGATTTTCCGATGCCACCAGTAACCGTGATTTCATATGCCGATTTTGCCATAACCGGATTGGATTCTCTCCCTGTTCCCGAAGGAGAATGTGGTAATCCTTGTTCCTTTTTCCGTATAGACATGGCAAAAGACACTTCTTTCGCATGAATTCCTGATTCAACATCTGCATTTTATGTGATTCTTGAGATATTAATGAACTACTTAATGAACCGAAACCTGATTATTGTTTTTAAAAGCACATGTGCCTACTTTCAAAAACATGAGGAACTGGGATATGGAGGTCGGTGTAAGTCAGAGGGTAGGTTATCATGATTCAAAAAACATAGTACAATCATAATTTTACACTCGTTTTTTCCTTAAAAATTTTTATTTTTGTAATATCAGAATCATAGAGGGAAAAAGAAGTTAAGATTGATGATCAAGCTATTTTTTTGGGTCACTGGTGCTGCATTACTAGTGCTGCATAATAAGATTTGAGTTAAATCCTGCCAATACACAGTACCACAATACATCTATTTGTATAAATCTGTCTTACCCGGAACATCTCGAGGAAATTTGTTCTCCAAAGCATTGTTGGCTGCTTCTGCCTCAAGGAAATGATCGATTGCCTGTCGAAGGGTTAAGTTTGGCAGCAAGGTCCCGACAGTGCATTTCATTGAAGAACACTTTGGGCACCTCCCGCTCTCAAGTAATGCCATTTGGATACCTGTAGAAACATATTTTAGCCAATAAATAACTCCACAATATGATATTAAATAAGTTATAATCAACAAAATATTTGGAATAAATTATTAATCCTGCAAGTCAAGACATTATGATGACAGCGAGGGTTTCATATCTCATGATGGTTGACACCTATGTTGATGAAAAAAACCCATTTCCTTAAAGGAAAACAACAACATGCTAAGCAGCCAATAAAATGCCTTTTTTTAATATAAAAAAAAGCTAGATGCTAAGTGACAAATAAAAAGTATCCTCTCTGCTTCCGCTTTCTTTGATCTCTTATTAGGTGATCTTATTCTAAGAATCATAAAGTAAAGAGTAAAAGAGTAAGCAATTTATGTAGTGTCTTTATTATATTTGTTATACTCGGAGAAGTAGCCAGCGCTGCAGATTTATCAACATAACTAATATGTTGAATGTTTTAATTCCACCTATAAGCTTTATTTTTTTCTAGAAGATTCAGATGATCCTAAAAACCCCAAATTTAAAACTTTCTCATACTCTTACAGTGTATTTAGCTATTTGGAGGTATTGTACATATACATGTTAATTTTTATATGATGACCGTCGATTCACATGCTTTATTTCCCATCAACCAAGACAACACAAGGATCCTTTAATAAATTACTACTACTATACATGATAACAACTACCCGAGCCTACATATGCATTCTCCGTATCTATCCAAAGTAGGAAGTTTATGAATTATGCATCAAAATCAATACGTATTCAACCTAGTTTTCAAACATGTATAAGAGGTTCACCAGATCCAATATTGCATATTTGATAGATCATATACTAAATTGGTACTGTTATCACAATTTTCCTTATTAGAGTTTTCTGTCCATAAGACTTTCTAGAGATAATCATACAATATTTGCATATACAAAAGGTATTACCCCCTCAATGATCAACGAAAAAGAGTTTCTTTTCATAACATGAAATTAAAATTTTTATAACATGGTATAAAAGAAAAATCCTTAATCCTAGAGATTTCTTTTCTAAACAGCTTGGAACAGAAAGTAATAGGCCAATGTTTTGTGCAATCTTGAGGAAATTAATGGCTCAATTTTTCCCCAAAAACATCTAGTCTGACTCATATATCTGCATGGTTTATGTGGACACACAATTACTTTTATTTCAAGCCATGACTTACATTTACTGCTTGTCAATTAAGGACAACAATTCAAAACAGACCCTTTTGCGATTTTATTCCCAAAAAACGACCCATTTCCCTCTTATTTGTAAAAATCGACCTGGTTTCAGCCTCAGGGCTGAAACCAGGTCGGTTTTTACAAAAAAGTTCCGAAACTTTACGGAAGTTGAACTCCCGTGAAGTTTAGAAATCATTTAATTAAGCTGCTAAACTTCACGGGAGTTCAACTCCCATGAAGTTCCACAACTTAATTTTTTTTAACTAAGAAACTTCACGAGAGTTCAACTCCCGTGAAGTTTAGCAGCTATTTAATTAAGCTGCTAAACTTCACGGGAGTTGAACTCCCGTGAAGTTTCAGAACTTTTTTTGTAAAAACCGACCTGGTTTCAGCGCTGAGGCTAAAACTAGGTCGGTTTTTACAAATAAAGAGAAAAGGGTTGTTTTTTGGGAATAAAATCTCAAATGGGGTGGTTTTGAAAATTTGTCCTCTCAATTAAATTGAACTTACAACTACTGTTCTTTCCTTAGAGTAGATGCCCATAAATGTACTCAAACAAGCTAGAGAACTCTTCTAAGGTATAAACTCTATGCAGCTACCATGATGTGTTTTTGTTTTGGATTTATGTTAAAATGCCAAATCCAATAAGAACATAACCCATGGATTTGCATATGGGAAACCGGACACTACCTTTATCCTTTCTTTACCATATAATCTGGTCGTTATTATATTTTGTTTCGGGAAGTGAATAATGGTAATGAAACAGCTAAAACATTGAAGTATTATTTAAGATAAACAATTTCATGGCAACTAGAAAATCCGGGTTTGAGTCATAGTAGACATAGGAGTATTCACTCAAATTATTCCAATGATTATGCACGAATAATATGCATGCAAGTGAAAACAAATATTATGCTTGAAAATATTTCCAGCTCCGAAGCACGGATTGGCCCCCGGAGGCCACGAATCCGTGTCCGACTCAAATCAGACACGGATTCGTCACGACACATGCACGACACGTGTCGGACACGGTCAATCCGTGTTCGACACGGGTCAACGGTCAAATTAGGCTCGGACGCAGACAAAGGAGCTCGGACACGGCTCGGATTCGCCGAAGGCCGATTCATTCGGGTTGCGGGTTGCGGATTTGGTTGTTAAAATCCAACCCGACCGTTCGATTAAAAAACCCATCCCTATTTCTCAAATCTCCCGTTCGATTCGATCTTCAACTGACTTAAACGAAAGAAAAAAAAGAAAAAACCCTAACCCTAACCCTAATCCTCTCTCAATCTCTCAGCTCACTCCCGTTCGATTCGATCACCTTTGTTGTTCCGATCCGATCCTGCCGACCGCTCCGTTGTTCCGACCCGATCCCGCCGACCGACTCCTCCTTCCTCCGACTCCTCAAGTCCACCCTCCATTCCTATTTTATAAATTTTTCTATATATAATAATAATTAAAAACATCATTGTCGTATCCCCGTATCTTTTTTTTTTGGATTTTGTCGTATCTCATATCCGTGTCCGTGTCGTATCCGTGTCCCGTATCCATATCCGTGCATCATAGATTTTCAGAACTATAACAAATAGAACCTTGCATCTTTTATCTATAAACAACGATCTGGTGCTTATCAAGAAAGCAACTACTTTGATCCAAAAAGAACCACTCTATATATAATACAAACTTTAGGGTTCCCTGGCATAAGGGACAGTGTAACAATGTCCCACTCAAAACCCAAGGCCAACATGCCTTAGTATTTCAATGTCGCTATGCTGGCATAATTAACAGTCACAATATCCAGTTGCTAACTCACTTCTCTTTTGACGGTCTCAAGGTTTATACAATTACCCATCAATAAGTTTTTCCTTTGGCAGATTATGGAAAAGAAAAAAACTTTGCTTTTCTCGCTAAATGCTATGCAGAAACTTTCATCATAGTTTATATACATGCATTACGTGTGCCTAAAACACTAGTAGTTAGTCCAAGTTCCATCTCCAACATCTAAAAAAATGTTGAAAGCTGTGAATAAGAGCAATAACGAAAAACTGATTACTAGAGCAAAAAATACATTGAAATGACTAATACAATAAATTAGTCATCATTATTAATCCTTTAGTTTTTTAATTACCACTTCTGGTTTTCAAGATCAGAATCACACCACAGAGTGAAATATGCAAACTGGAATGTAATTCAAAAGGAGCTCACATGAACTGGTAAAATTGTGAAAAACCTACTACACACCTAGAAGCTACAAGCTAACACAAGTTTCACGTGCATGCATGGATGCTATATGGCTACATACATGCAGACATCATGCACAAGACAAGCTCATGTAAACCTGTGCATGCATGAGATAAAGTGAGAAAATAGAATCTCATTCACATAGCAAACTTTCATAATAAAGTAAACTCATAAAAACAATAAAGCCAATCATTCAAGGTTTTGAACCCTACATCACTTATGAAATGCTTGACTACAGAGTTGACCTTTCAATAGATTAATCCCTTATAACACTTTTCTATGTAACACTTTTCTAATCCCTTATAACATTTTTATATGTAACACTTTTCTAAGTGTACGAATCTAAGCATCGGAACTAAGATTTTAAACCAGTTCTCTGAGTTTGTAACATGAATCCAAAGCGTGGTCTGCAATACAAAAGGCAGACAAAAAATTTTGTGATCACGAGGTGCTTATATTGGAGTATACTAATCAGGAGTGGTGTATATTAATTTTTGAAATCTCACATTTGGATAATTAAATAGATGGATTTTGGATTGTAGTCAAATCCTACATTGTATCAAACTAATATTAGTAATATGGTTCTCTTCTTGCTGCCATGTACTGCATTACCATTTACGAGATATTTCACTTTACTAAACTATTTCTCATTTTGATCTCATGTTGATCACCTTGCCTAACATGGGTCTTTCCTAGGGGTGCATGCGGTCCAGATACGGCTCGGATATGATGTTTACCATATCCATATCCGCTTATCAATCACGGATACGGATACGAATGAGAATATGCCTTGGTAAGGAAAACTTTTAATGATATGTGCCAAAATCGGAGACGGATACGGAATATATGTGGATATAACATGCGGATACAACAAGCATATGAGAAAACCAGATAATATAGGAAAATATTTAGTTCCTATGACACAAGAGAGTTCATTAACGTGTTCATTATATCTGAAAAGCTAAGACTAAACTATTGATCATCAAAATTTGTCTCAAATCCATGAATCTAAGTGTTAAAACAATTGCAATTGTATGATCAACATATATTCGGATATTTCAGATACGGATCCCAATCTTTCACTGTATAACCATATCCGTAACCATATCCTATCATATCGGTTATAGATTCTAATAACCATATCAGTATCCTAACGAATACGCCGATACGATTACCGATACATCTGCGGTCCGCGGCTACGGATATGGTTGGGCACCCTAAGTCTTTCCCCGGTGTTTTGTCTTTCTTTCATTGAATAATTTATACAAAAACCCAATTAATCTACAAAACACCCACCATCTCACTAGATAAAATCTCTCTTCTCCACTAATTCCATGCATCACGCTTAAAAATTTCCTCGTCCCACGAAGATCTCTTTATTATATTCTTTTGATTACTCCTATATGTTCATAAAAAGCAATGTGATTATTTACTATATTTATTTCAAAAAACACTTCAAATGACTGATAAAAATGTAAATATTTTGCTTCATTAATCATCAAACATGTATAGGCAAGTAAACTTATTAAGATTTTCACAAAATCTTAAAAACAAAATGAAAAAATTATTCAAGCATCTCATGTGGTGTGTCCCACTTTGCGATTTACTCCACCCCAAAAAACTTTTATAGCCTTTGTTTCATACTATAAAGTGTTTCATATCAACTTTACAGAAGTAATCCATCAGTTTTTGCATTGGAGATGCAACATGTTTAAAATTCAGCCTCCATTCATCTATATGATATACATGCAAAAGTATATGTGCGAGCCCTAGAGATAGCCACATTAACAAGATCTCCAAACCCTTTTTGTAAATGTTGTTAAAAGTCGATATGGCGCATTATTTAGTTGTTCAAACTAAAGAGGTCTTGTAAAATCTTAACTGTTTTTTCTATGTAGCTTAAAAGGTAAACTGATAGTTTTTCCTTGTTATAATATCAAATACACAGCTTCTTCTAGTAGTGGAACCAAGAAACTAGTTTTCTCATTCTAACAGCGTTCACACAATCCAGTGTGGTTTTTTAGAACATTATGCAAAGCAAATGTCCTTAACCCATTACTTCCATAAGTAACAAAATTATGATGGTTACTGAAAGCTTACAATATACTGCATGTCAAGCAAGACATTGGGCCAACGCGCACCTAGTATGGACACATCATCATAATATGTTGTCAAACAACACATTCGATAATTTGTTGTAAGATATGAGAGATGATGCCATATTAAATATCCTTCTATTATCGAAGATATTCCATTACTCAACCTTCTTTCCCTTTAAGAAAACTAGATTTCAGGCATGTAGAATGCATGTGGGTTCCACACCTGTCAACAAAATACCCTACCCCCCATTTCCAAAATGTTGGAAATCAGGGTGTATGGTTTTTAAAATACCCTACCCCCCAATTTCCAAAATTTTGGAAATTGGGGGGGTAGAGTATTTCTTACTCAACTTTGATAAGTTTCGTTTTATAGAAATCCTGATTAAATTGAGATTCTAGCTATAATGGGAACTATATTTCTGAAAAGATTTACTATCTTGGACGTGATACAAAACGAGCATGCCCTCTTTAGAAAAAATAGTAGAAATAGTGGACAATTCCTCCACTAACATTCACTAATTTTCTAAGGTCTCAAACATAAACTCGCCAGTCATAAGTTAAAAAGCATTAAACTTTGAAAAACAAAATAAATCTATGCTCAGGTAGAAAACCAAAATAGAAAAATAAACAGTGTATGGAATTTCAATATACTACAAGCTGGTAATACATCAGATATACAACCTTTACATTTGTAAACAATCTGAGAACAAGAGTTTTAATCCTAAAATGTAATTATGGAATTCACAACCTAACATAGGCTCCAAAAGGTTTCCATTTTACAGTACAAAAAGGAGATATTAATTTAAACATCAAGGCATTGTTTGGAAAACCTACAAGCAAATATCCAAGCTGTAAAGATAAGTATTAAAATATCCGCCATTTGCAGATGCAATAGAGCCATAAAAGAATAGCTTACATTTTCCACAAAAACTATGTTGGCAGCATGGGATCATAACAGCATCTTTGAAGATTGCATTACAAAGGGAGCACCTCAATTCCATTGGCAAATCCATGTCAAACGCCATTGGCAAGGGCATACCAGCATGTCTATGAGATTTAATGTATTATGGATATCAAGAAAATATAGGAAAATTTCACCGGAAAATCGTAAAGTGACAATGATTCTATAACAAAGTTATCGTGGGCAAATTATATTACTTATCGAATTTCTGGGGTTCTTCTTTCTCCAACCCCAACTTAATTTGCTTTTGAATTTCTTCATTAGCAGGTTCTTCAAAACAATTATCCCCGGTACCTTCTGCCATTTCAGATAAAGTAACATATAAACACAAATATTGCAGATAAATAGGCTTTAATATAGAAAAAAAATTCTAGTGACGGTATTAACCTTTTGACATAGCCTTGTTGACATAAGGTCTTTCAACATTTTGACATCTTTGGACAGGTGCCTCAGAGAATCTAGATCAATAGAAATGAATAACAAATACTTTTACTGAGAACAAAAATACAAAGCAATGGAAAGTAATAACTATGACCTTTAAAACTATGAAATTTAGTGCAGAAAGGAATGAAATTGTAAACATAAGAAACAACTTAACTGAAATAGTCCATCATATACATCAGGCCCAATCACAGAAGCAGTATCAAATAAAATGTAGCAAAAAGGTCTAGGAACTCCATCAGTTTATAATGGAGGAGCATGAGTTCAAAGGCAGTGAACTTCAATTATTCTTACTGACTATTAAAATGGCATACAAAATAATGGCTAGAAAGACCATGTGAAAGGTTACAGACTTCCATTAAATGTGGAAGTGTAAATTTAGCATTTTCCACCACAAATGCTTCGATGCTCCACCATTAATTTTCTTCCTGACAAGTACTCCTTCGGAAACTTGACCTACCATATGTCGTGACATATAGTGGATGGTGGATGCGTTAAATATACTTTCTTGTGTATTAACATAAGGTTTGCAGTCCAACTCAACGAATAAAGTGCTATCTGAAAATAAAATTCGTTGGAAGTTGTACCTGGTAACAAGCTTATCTTTTTTATTGGCAGTGAAATTCATATTGCCAATGGCATCATTACACTCCGGTAAAGATCCCTGATGAACGGGAAATAAATCCACACAAAAGTCATCAAAGTTCTCTTTATCAACATTCTGCTAAGGGAAAAATAAACTCAATATGAGCGAAGAACAGGCTGCAATAACATACAAGAAACATCATAATCGCCAATCAAATAAGGATAGAAAGTATACTATAAACAAAAAAAGGTCTAATATATAGTAAAGATTCTTAAGAACCAAACATACTTAGAAAATCATAACACATCAGGTGAACTCAGTGCAAACAGATGGATTATGATTATATATTTCTTCCATAGGAATACTATAATTGTCAAATCTAAATTAGCAGGTTAAGGAAGACCGGACCACCCTCCCCCCCAACACACACACACAGACACACACACACACACACACACACAAGTACATACAATGCCACCATTGCATTTATGACCATAGAGTGGAATCCGGCAAATAAGCAATTAAAGAATGATGAGTAAAAATTGAAAAGGCAAACAACAAAATAACAATGTCTATATCCCAGTTTTTTTTATTCCATTCAGTTCTCGGTTAACTTAGGCACTATCATATCCTCCTTCATTGTTTCTGACCAAGTACAAATTGAACATCCATCACAAAAATACATCATTTGACCCATCCAGTCAGTGCAAGTAAATTCATTAAAAGCAGAAGCACTACCTGAGCATGCACTGTCGCAACCCTCTCTGCATATACACGATCTTTTCTGGCGACATTCCCAACATTTCTATGCCAGAAAATAACAAAATTAAATTCTAGTATCAGAGGCATGTTAAAATACCAAATGTAAAATTAAAAGCCACAGAAACTCACAAATCACATGGAGAGGACAGCTCAGCAGGCACTCTCTTGACCACAACGCTCGATCCTTCCCTTAGCTCAATCTCCTCATTCTCAAAAGCTAAAATCACGCAAAAAACCAATTAAATCACCAAAAACAATTGGGGGAACCAAAGGGCTATTACACAACCAAGAGAAAAGATCAAACCTGCGCCAGTCTCAGCATCAGAGATAATGAGATCAAAGTCTTTACAGAGCTGTAACTTTTTCCGAGCAATGATCTTAGCCCGGAGCTCACCAACAGAAATCGAGCGGCGGCCGTCGAGGTCGACGGACTCGAACGCCAATGAGCTTCTGAACTTGAATCGGATTGACATCGATTAGGGCTAGGGTTTCAAAATCTGAATCTTTGATTTAGGCTTTGGTTTAGGGGGAGGGTAGAGGAGATGAAGAAGAGGCGGTAGAAGACGAGAACCAAAAAGAAACGGTTGATTTTTTTGAAGGTATTAATAAGTAGTTTTGGATTTGCATACAACCAATTTTGAACATGTGTCAGCGTGCATGAACCTACGCGCCCTCCTTTTAAGTTAGGTAATAATAAGATTTAATTGCAGGTTTACAACTCCAGTTGGATTTATGGTAAATATTAACAATATCGGGTAAATATTAAAAGTATGGGTATCCATGTCCAAAAGTGTATCTAAATTAATACTTTGAGGAGGAGTGTGGTAGTCGAATTGTGAAGGGAACATATAATTTGTTAGATTCTATCTAAATTGTAGAGCATTTCCTTTGAGGGTGTTGCCCTTTCTGTCCAAGTACGATGATGCTTTTGGAATCCTAGAAATGGGACTTACATGAATCAAGAGAGGGCTTATCTATACTATTATATTGAAAACTGTATGGGGATAGGAAATATTGAATGGAAGGAGGAAAATGTCATTCATTCCACTAAAGACATGAGGGCAATTTTGTCATTTCACTTGAATAATAAATGCTTCACGCTTTCCCATGCACTATCTCTCTGATACACAATTAATTCAAACGGTTACACATTCTCTGTCTAACAAACACAATTAAAACTTTGCCATTAGTGATTGTGAGGATATCTAGGGGTCGGCTCGGAAAACCGGGCATAGGCCCGGGGGCCTGAGCGAGCCGGACCGGTTTTTTTGTTTTTCAAATTTTTTTTATCTCTTTAAATTTTCAATAATACATAAAAAATTACAAACTTTTTTAATAAAAACAATAATATTATTAATCACTTGAAATTACATAAATTGCAAATAAAAAAAACTTTAAAAATGGCATATGACAAAAATAACTTATTTATTAATAATCAGTTAATCCTTTACAAGTATAAACTCATCACAATAGATGAGTATATCCCAACTAGGTTGGTACCTACTCACCTATATCACTATCATTTGCAGCTGTTTCTAAAATAATTCATTACAAATTTTCAGGTAAGAAATAAAAATTATAATTCGATGAATATTGTTTACTCTTTATATCTATTTGCTAGTCCCAACTCTTTAAATTTATCTTTAATATCAGCCATCCGATCGATGTCTTGCGTTCTCTTCTCGTACCTCCACCAATCTTGTAAGCACATCACCGCATGTACAATATACAGATCTAACGATGTCCTATGGTCGTCGATCAAATGTCCTGCTGTGCTGAAGACTGATTCCGAAGCTACCGTTGAAACCTGCACTGTTAGTAAGTCACAAACCATGATGGAAAATATAGGATATAAAACTATTCCATATACTTTCCACCATTGAAAAATATCTAAATTATTATTTTGATATTTAACTAAAGAAGCAGTTTAATATTGATCAATTTGAGAAACCTCCAATGATGATCCAAGTCCAGATCCACCAGTTAGCTCAGCTACCATAGCATGCCTATCAAAATTTACTCTTTTATCCCGACTTGAGCTCGAAGAAGCCGAACTTGTAGACTGTTGTGTAGCTACACCATATTTAGCTACATACTCATCATATAAGCTTTAAAAATAATTTCTAATAGTATTATGATGAGTAGTAGCACTGATGGTGCTACCATCATCAATGTCTATTATCTGTCCACCATACAATGAATGTAACAAACTTCGAATGCCAATATCCTTCAATTACGGATCAATAAGAACCCACAAACCAAAAATAATAGGAATATGCCTAAAATACTTATTAAATTTACTTTCCATTTAAAAAATTATACTTCCAAAATAATCATCCATACGATATTTATTAATTTCTTTTAATACTTAAAATTTGTAAAGCAGCTAAAGTAATGGTTGGATAATAACACCCAGATAATAACATTATAGCATCATAAAAACTTGTAGCATCTCTTTTAAATTATTTATAACTGTCCATTCATCTTCAGTAATTCCATACATGCTACCAGAGCTAAAACTAGAAGCATAAAAAGCAATAAAATCATTTATAATTTTTTATATTCTATTATTACACTTAACATTGCATAGGTGGAATTCCACCTATGGTCAACATCTTTTGGAATCAATCTGGGTTTTAAATTTTTTTATTTTACAAAATTATTTTCATCTTCTAATTCTTTGTTCAGAAGCATTATGCATATAAGTTACCATCCTAACCATTTCTATCATGGGTTTAATTTTAGTAAATACACTTTGAATAATTAAATTTAAAATATGATATATACATTTAATATGAAAAAGATCACCATGACATAACAATGACAGAGATTGTTTGATAAAATCAATACTACATTATTATTACTTGTATTATCTAGTGAAAGAGAAAATATTCTTTCTGAAATTTCTAATTTTAAAAGTTCTTCAATTACTGAATTTGCAACATTAATATCAATATGTGACTCTTCAATTGCAATAAAGGAATTAACTCTTTTAAACATTTGCCAATTTTCATCAATCCAATGTGCTGTGATACATAAATAACTAGTTTGTGTTTTAGATGTCCAAATATCAGAAACAAAAGAAAATTTACTGTTTAAACTTTAAAAATAAGAAATTATTTTTCCTTGTTCCTTCTAATAATGTTTTAAAATATCATGTTGACAAGTTTGACGAGAAATTTTTTTAAATGCGGGGTAAAACCCATCTGTAAATAAATCTTTAAATTCATCATCTTCTACTAATTTAAAAGGAAGATTCTTAATAATAATAAACCTGATGACGTATTTCCTGGCACGAGCTGCGTTATAATTCCAACTACCGAGACTACTAGAAGATGAGGATTGTGAGATCATACATTGTCGGATATCACCTTGAGGTGTATGGCCTTTGTTGTGTTTATCTAAATAACATTTGACGTGGTTGGTGCCGCTCTTATGATGAGATTGGAAAATCTTGCCGCACGACGCATACTTAGCCTTCTGGGTGAGGATCCTACCGTGTTCATCATTGGTGACGTCTATCTTCTCGAAAAAATTTTATACATCAGATCTCGGGCTTTTAGAAGCTCTTGGTGAAGAATCGTCGCCACCGGATTCAGAATCAATATCGGTAGGATCGGTAGGAGTAGCTATAGTAGGATGACTCATTTTGAAACTTAGATTTTGCTCTTCATAATCAGATCCGGAAGCCATTTGATTAAAGAATTAGAGAGGTAAAGTGATCATTAGAGAGTATAAGAGTGTATAAGAGTATATAAGAGAGTATTAGAGAGAAGTAGATGAGTTTTGGATGAGGAAAACAAATAAAACCCCCTCTATTTATTGAGGCAGCCCCCTAAACAAATGACAAAATACCATTATTTTTTTACCGTTTTGACCGTTTTTGGGGGCAAAACAGTCAAAATGGTTGTTATGGCTAGGCCGGCCAAAACAGTCACAAAACA